TTTTTTTTTTTTTTTTTTTTTTTTTTTTTTTTTTGGTACAGGGACCGAGTCTCAGCCTTTTGAGAAACAACTTTTGTAGCTTGTGTGTGCATTGGCCATGAGGCAGTGCAGCCTGAATAGGAAGGCTTAGACACATTCCCAGTCAGTGACACTAAACTGCACAATAATTTCAGGGACAAGCTGTATGTACTGGCTGGAGGTGCCAGGTCTCCACGCGGGTCTTATTTTTGTAGGAGAAGCAGAAGCTGCTGGATGAGATTGAAGGGTTGACGCTGAGGCTCAGTGAGGAACAGGAGAACAAGAGGAAGATAGGGGACAGGCTGAGCCATGAGCGGCACCAATTCCAGAGAGACAAGGAGACAACCCAAGAGGTGAGCAGGGCCAGCTGTCCCCTACCCTGCCCAATGCAGCCTGCTCCTCAGGGAGGCCAGAGCCTCTGTCTCTTTGATAAAGGCTTTTAGCTGTTACTCTCAGCAGGGCTGCTGGTACCTGGTGACCTCCTGGACTGTGGGCTAGTGACCTCTCAGGAGAACAGCCAGGCTGACTTAACAGGTGCTTGCCCTGTGCTTCCTTCACAGCTAATTGAGGACCTCCGTAAGCAGCTGGAGCACCTGCAGCTCCTCAGGCTGGAGGCTGAGCAGAGGCGGGGCCGCAGCAGCAGCCTGGGGTTACAGGAGTACCACAGCCGCACCAGGGAGAGTGAGCTGGAACAGGAGGTCCGCAGGCTCAAGCAGGTATGGCTCAGTCCAGCCCCACAGAAGCTTCCTGAAGGCCAGAGTACTAGCGTTCGCATCACTAGGATAGAATACATGACACCCACAGCTTAAAAGAGGAGAAATTTAATTTGGCTCACTTTTCAGGGGATTCGTTTCATGGTTAGCTGGCCCCAAAGCAGAAGTGGCACGGTGGAAGAGCAGGCAGGAAGCAGAGAGAGGAAGGAGGAACAAGGGACCTGAATGTGCCCTTCTGGTGACCCATCCCTCCAGCTGGGCCCCACCTCCTAACTATGCATAAACTCATGAATGGAGTAATTCACAGATGAATTTAGCACCTCCATGATCTAATCACCCTACAAAAGCCTCTGAACACAGACTTTTGGGAGACATTTTAGTTTGTTTTTTGTTTTTGTATCAGGGATCAAACTTAGGACTTTGTGCTTGTGGGGCAGGTGGCAGCGCCACTGAGCTAAATCCCTGGCCCTAGGAGACATTTTAGATCTAAACCAAACAGCTGGCCTGGGAGGGTAACTGAGCCGCAGGCTTCCTTGACCTGGCTAAGCATGACGATGCTCTTGCTACTGTGCTCCGTAGGACAACCGCAGCCTGAAGGAGCAGAACGATGAACTGAATGGGCAGATCATTACTCTCAGCATCCAGGGTGCCAGAAGCCTCTTCTCCACAGCCTTCTCTGAGTCCCTGGCTGCAGAGATCAGCTCAGTCTCTCGTGATGAGGTAGCGTTCCCCTCCTGTCTGTGCCCCAAAGTCCGTGTGCCCAACACCAACCCCTTGCTCTTGCCACAGCTCATGGAAGCCATCCAGAAGCAGGAGGAGATCAACTTCCGCCTACAGGACTACATTGACAGGATTATCGTGGCCATCATGGAAACCAACCCATCCATCCTCGAGGTCAAGTAGGACACCAGAGCCCAGTCTGGGCTGGCTCAGGACGCCACCAGCATCCCGAGTGCCCCGCCATACCATAAGGAGCCGAGACCAGCAGGTCCCCAGCCTGCCAAGCCCAGGGCATGCGGGGGTTCTTGGGCAGTGGGGAAGGGGGGAAGGAGGGGAACCCCTGGGATTGAGTGAGACTGAGCCCACAGCAGGCAAGGATTGTGGCAGGGCCTCTTCACCCCAAGTTGCCTGGCTACAGTGCCCGTCTCTGGTCATCAAGGATGGGCTCTTAATCTGTGCAGAGTTTGGGACAGCTTCTCAAGCCCGCTGAGCCCTCCGACCCCTCTTCCCACCACGCAGCCCTATTAGGCAGAGAGGAAGAAAACGGGTCCCTACCAGGGGTGCAGTTGCCCACACAAGCACCCTCACATGGTGCCACCCCATCCCAGCCACTCCTGAATGGTGTCCAAGTCCTGAATCCTCCCATGGGACATGGTACGGGAAGGCCAGAAGGGGGAGGCTGGTATGTGTAGGGTCTCTCCCTGAGCAGCTCAGGCCATCATCCAGCCAGGTGGCCATCTCTGTCCAGCTTCCAGACCAGGGACCTCTAAGCCACACAGCCACTCCATGCCGACTCTCACTATAGTAACCTTCAAGGGCTCTGTGTGGGGGCTAGGTCAGGAGTGCACTAGGACCCTTTTCTCTGATTTCAGGACTTGAGATCTTGACTGTGAGGAATTTATTTCCTTAATGGGCTGGACACTGCTGGTCCTCTAACTACAGGGGCCGCTGTTGTATAGGTACAACCTGCCCTGGTCTCCTGGAGTCCAACCCTCTAGGCAGACCATCACTGCCCTGGATGAAGTCCACATTTCCCAGGCTAGAGTCTAGGTATCTGGAACCATGTTTCCTTCTGGTTCCTTCTGAGCGTCTGACTTGAAGTTTTGTTCTTCCCTGGGGTATGTCCTGCAGCAGTGTGGGCACGGCTGCTGTCTAAGGACACAGGAGTACTGGGTGGCCTTCCTGCACAGTGCCTGCCCCACCCAAAAGGGCAGTGCCACCTCACAGCTACTGGGCCTTCCCCGAGCCTGGGAGTCCTCAGGCATTCCCAGGTGGACCAAGACCTGTCACAAAGACTGGCCACCCCACTGTGTGCAAGTGTGTGTGTGTGCGCGCGTGCATGAGTGTGCACACAAGTGTGAATGTATGCGTGCTGCCCTGCATCCCTCCACGTGGCCCTTCTACACTACAATTTAAGATGTTGCCTCGTGTTGTACATTCTGGGGAAAGTCTTGGGTGTAAATCAGTGTAAACTTGGAAGAGAGATTTTTCTATCATGTAGAGTAGGTATTTTTTATAGATTGAAGGTTGATCAATTTTTTAATACTTTCCAGAGAGAAAAACTATCTGTGTATACACATGAAAAAAAAAAA